ATCTGAAAGCTATAGTGCGCGATCGTGCTGTGGCTACGCTTTGTCACTATTCTATAATTGTTTTGGCACTGCTTTGATGTCACTTTTCCGATTTGAAACTCAGAATTTTTTCTAATTTTTAGGCCATTGAAAACCGCCTAGAATGTCCGTATGATGTATTGTCATTGAGATGGCGCTTCAAGTTAATCCTAAACTGCATGTTTTCACTTAATTACTACACACGCATGTCACTTTCTCTTGAGTTGTTTTTAACGCTTTTGTGCTGTGCAACAGCTGCACAAAGCGCATATTGTCACGTTGTGTGTGTGTTTTTTCTGCAGCAACTATCAACTCGGGAACCACAAAAGCTAGGAAGCTGGAAATTTTGGGGGATGTTTCCCGCCCACATATGACCCCACAAATTTAAATTCAGCCTCCCTGTACTCACGGGTAGCACGTACGGCTCCGTAAAAATTTTTGCGGGTAAAATTATCGTGGGAATCATGAAAGTCAGAAGGCTTAAATTCTGACATTCAGCCCCGTGAAAATTTGGGCGAGTAAATTATTATGACGGGAACCGCGGAATCTAGGAAGCTGAAATTTTAGGGTAATAACCCCCTGCTCACGTACGACTTGCAGATCCAAATTCAGCGTTCCCGCTCTCTCGGGTATCATTTGCGGCCCCGTGAAAATTTTGGCAAGGAAATTATTATCTTCGGCACCATAAAAGTCATGAAGCTGAAACTTTGCAGTAATGTGCCCTGGTCACATATAATCCCGCGAATTTAAATTCAGCCTTATCGTACGCTCAGGTATCGCTTGCAGCCCTGTGAAAGTTTCAGCGGGAAAAATTATTATCTCGTGAACCATGAAAGTTGGGTATCTGAAATTTTAGAGCGATGTCCCCCATCAACGTACGACTCCCGCAAATTTGAATTCAGCCTTCACGCACCCTTGGGCACGTCTGGCCCCGTAAAATTTTTGGTAGGGGAACTGTTATCTCGTGAACTGCAAAAGCAAGAAAACTGAAATTTTAGTGTGGCTTCCCCTGCCCACATACAACTCCGCTAATTTTCAGTGCCGTTGTGGAAGTTTTGGTGAGAAAAATTACATCGAGAGTAGAAGAATTAGGATGGCTGAAAATTTCTGGAGAATGTTTCATACCTAAGCAGGAGCTTCACAAGGTACTGGAAAATTTGGAATGCAACTAAAATGCTAATGAAAATGATGAAATTGACAACATTTAAAAAGTTGGAGCAAGACGGGGTAAGACGTACCATACGGCCGCACGTGTAATTTGGTCGCAGTTTAGACAAACAAAGAATAATTGGCCAACGCACGGGCTGCCCGTGCGAAGATGTGTTTTCTGCAGAGCTCCCCGCAGTTTTTGTCGCTATCGGCATCGGTTTTATTGGCAGATGCTTCTAGTTGAAAGAATTTCAGACTGACCGCCAGAACTGTCAGGAAACATCCCCTCAA